ACCTTCCTAACAGAAGGCAAAGTTTACAACTTTTTTTCCCACTGCGCCTGGTAGTGTGACCCCTGCAAACACAATTTCAGCTTATGTAGGGCATAACTTCCAATACCACTGAATAGATGCAAATATTTTCTGCTTCGGTTTATTTCTTTGCTCACCCCCTCCATCCCATTACTCTTGCTTTATTTATGGTTTTGTAAACCACACAAACAAAATACCACTTCCTCCTTTTTTGTCCTTTGCATCATGACCACTGAAACAGATGTTTACCTTTGTACTTTTTCTGTTGTCCTAAATTATGCCTCATTTCTTTCAGTTATCATGTACATTTTATAAAATGAGCTGTATACTAGAACTATCCTGACCCTGGTATCTTGCTTTGTACATTGTGAAGCCATGTCTTGTAAAAAAAAAATTATTATAAAATCACATTATCTTGATAGTGTTCACATTATGATTTTAAGGATCTGAAAATTAAAAACAAAATAAAATTATTTTCCATGTATCTGTATATTAACTATTCCTATTAAATACTGAAAAAAAATAATAACAAGCTAAAACTACATTCAATCTTAATCAACTTTTTAAAAATTTTATTTCTTTCTTTTTTGTTTTATCCAAAGTTCACCATTTTGGATGGAACCTAGGTTTGACAATACATGCATGCTTAATTGTTTGACTTACAGTATGTATTTTTTTCAGTCACTAGTGAAACAGAATAATATGTTTTGACAAAAAAATTATTTCTTGCCCAAATATAAAATAATTTTGCAATCATTTTCTTTTATCATAAAGCATTAAAGAGCTGGAGAAAAAACCCCAAACAAAACACTAGTGACAGAAGCCATCACAGATACCTGTACATTTTATAACCTATCAAAATCTGACTTTTGGATCTAACCCAAACAGCCATGTACACATGCTCCCAAACAAACATCATACCAAACATGATCACCATCTGTTTCTCAAATGAATGTACATGGAGTTCAGTTCAGAGGATTACATCTCCATCCCACCCCCAACTCACAAGCATCAATATCCACGACTCTACCCACCCACCATTACAACTAATGCAACCTCTCTCTACTGGTGTATATGTGTATTCAGCTCACACACCTACAAATCCAGGACCTTACCCCAAAAAATCTATAAAAGATGTTGCCTGTATACTACATGCTTTAAATATTTTTTATCTATAGCTCAAGGCCAAATTTGTAATATAATTTTATATAAAAATACAAAACACTTCAAATAACTGACTAATATTGACTATTTAAATCAATGAGTTTCATATGTTGCTCTATCCATATTAGTTTTAAGGCACATGTAAATTATCTTTTGAAAATAAAACTTTAAAATAACTGATAAACCATAGTGTATGTCAAAAACTACAAGATAAAAATTATCAAAGTCAACAGCAAAGCAAATATGTAGAAATGTTTACATTTTTATTGATTAGGGACATTTTATTACTGTCAAAATATGGAATATATTTCTTTTGCCTGTAGGTGAGTAGCAGTGTCCATGCCAAGCTCAAATTAATGAATCCGGCCATCCTTCACTTTGCCAAATTAGGACCCTTTCCTTAAAGAGGTTTGATATTTTGAACTTTTGAAAAGTACATAATACATTGCAAAAGACAAGGTTCATAGCTGGAGAAATTTCTATTTTCATATAACCAGCCAAAATCGAAATCGTTCTCTTATGGTATCTGCAATAATACTAACAGGTTTAAAAACATTTTCATTTAAACTGTTTTTCCAATAAGCTATTAAACAGTTACTTAATCTATATTTATGATTTGTGAATGTGTAGAAAATGAGGTTTAATTTGGTTTTAAAAAATCATGGTCTTTTAACATGGCAGATATCACCGAGGTCAGCTAATTCCAGACCACTGGCACTTATCAATAAACAAAGTCATGCCAAACTGAAAGTATTTACCCATACGTATTTATAAGTATTGATCTACTTTTCAAACAAAACATGATTTATATCAAACAAGAATTTTAAATGTGAACCACCCCAAAAACAATCTGCTGCAAGTCAGCATCTCTGATGTCTGAGGTAAGTTTTAAGTTCCATCCCTTTTGATATACATAGAAGTCAACGGTTTGATATTTTAACAAATAACAGTATTGCTGTTGTACATACCTAAGTATCTAAAATAATTTATTAAAACTCATAAAATAAAACCATGCACAGGTATATTAAGTTGTGGGATGAAGCAGTTAATATAAAAAAGTAATTAACAGTTGACATGACAGGCAAAATGAAACTTAATATGTAAAAAGATTGGTTCTACCTGAGTGTCCAAACTGGACTGAAATGATGCTAAATAATAGGTGCAAAAACTTCCATTGATTAAGTGCTAAAATAGGAACATATAATACACTCAAAGTGTCTTTGGAGGTGCTACCATGTTTCACTTTCTCTTTCAAGGATAATATGGAAAATGAAAAAATATATATCTTCATAAACATGATTAAGATAATTTAAATGTTACTCTAAAATTTTGTAATGAAATAAAAATGCTGTCATTGTTTAAACTTTGAAATTACTACATTATTTAAGCATTCTGAACATAACAATCTAAACTGATAGAAAATCTCTGGAAGTTCATGGCAAGTTATTCGTACTGATTTTTTTTCTCCACATTACTTAATTTATCATGTGTTTTGTCATGATAAACTTTCAAAGCATAGATGTCTATAAATACATTCATTATTTATACTTTAAGACAGACAACCAAATAAAGGTTTTTTTTTTTTTATTATCGTTGTCTATTGTAAGACTTCTGATTAAAGGATCATATGTAATGGTTGTTTATTATTTATTACTGTTCACTTCTGTAAGATTTCTGAGTAAAGGGTCATATGTGTAATGGTGGTTTATTATTTATTATTGTTGTCTACTGAAAGACTTCTTAGTAAAGGCTCATGTGTAGTGGTTGTTTATTTATTATTGTTATATTTGTGTCTACTACCACATGTCCACAGTTTCTTCCAAGCAGTGGATGGAAAGCATATTGCTATTTTTGTTCATAAAACAATAATAGGTACATGAATATCTGACTTCTGAATATGAAGACATGTAATTTGCAGAGGATGTGTTAATCCCTTTTTTGCTAAATATTTTTCTATTTATAGTATCTTCAGAAAGATTCATAAAACTCAAACAAAACTTTCCAAAGTTCCAAGTATAATGAAATCTACATTCACGCATACATGCATGCATATCTTTCCCTTATACATGCATATATTTTTATGTACATGCATAGCTTTGCTAATCAAATCTCTGTACCTATCTATATAGCAAATGTATGTACAAGCTAATAAATTGCTGGTCAATTTGACATTCTGTAAAATTTTAATGATGTAATACTTCCTTGCTTGTAGTGCATAGCTGGTACTTTTCAAGAAGGGAAATACCCAGACTGAATGACAAAAATTATGGTGAAATAGAAGCTTTCATAACACTGGACCACCCCTGCATGTGAACCCCATATCCAAAGATGAATGAGTAAGATGTAGATAGACCCATGTTGTACCAATGGCATGAACCTCATGGACTTTAATTTTCATGAAAGGCAGGTCCTATCAGTAAGGGACTGGATAGCTAATACAATCCACATAGAAATGGTGGAAGCTGAAATATCAACTAATCCTTTAATGGAAAGGAAAAGATGTGTCCTACCCTTCATTCTCTCTTTAGAGATTGCCAATTCAAAAAGTACAGCTCGAACAGACATAAAAAGTCTGTGGGCTCTGTTTTACAGAGTTGTCTAAATCCCTCACTGTCACTGATCACTGCCATCTCACTTTTATCTGTGTGGGTTCAAATCTCAGGCTTGGCTGCCATGTAATATATGTACTGAAAAACAGCTTTAAATCCACAACAACCTAAGACTATATCTTGGTCATCCCCAGCACAGGTATGACTGATCCTGAGGATCTCAACTGGGAGTGATGCAACCGAAGTTGGTCTTTTGCTAAAATTCTGGTTGGCAAAGGATAGAAAATGACTCACAATTATTGCTCTAAAGAAATTACATTAGGCTTGCTTCTTTATCTCACTAAGGTGAGAAAGAAAATATCTCAATGCTAAGACTGTTAAAGTAAGCATCACCCAAGCATTCACAGCAGAGGGTATTCTGTAACAAGGCACAAGAGAGAGACTCAAGAGGGCAAGACACTGGTCTTTGCAATTCAAAATATTTTATCAGATTTTCTGAATTAGATTTCTTGCTGACTGTAGGGCTTTTGAAAATCTGAGGAGGGTTGGAATGGGCTGTTATTTCTCAGTTGTAGAAACCTAGCATTGTTTCTCTTAGAAAAAGGAAGAAGAAAAAAATCTGCAACCACACTCACAATAACAAAAGATTTTCCATATGGCATCATACAACTTAGATGTTGATGTTCTCCTGGACTGAATGATGCATTGGGCAACTATCTTTTCTTTGTGGAGATGAGCCAACATAATGCATAATCTGTGGGCTGTTGTGTAGGAGAGAGCTATTGTGTTGCAAAAGAAGGTCCCAGTGGTTCAGTAGTAAGGTCTGGGGAAGGTTCACCAGCACATAAATATGATTACTGAACTATGATCAATGGGGTCACAGAGGGTCAATCAAAATGATCTGAGCTGTGGAGTGCCCAACATTGTGTACAACCTGTGGGATCATCCTGAAGGATGGGAAGGCATAAGTGAACAGCCTGAAAGTGCCCACTGTCCAGGCCCTCAAGTCAAAGACTATGAAAATGTAAATGGAGAGCTCTCATTTGGCAGGACTCTGAGTGTGTGTGTGTGTGTGTCTTTAGCATTTTTTAGCTCTTTTTCAGTCATATTGCTACAATATCAACAGTGTGGCAGTTTAAAGTGATGTTTAGAACTGGGGCATCCTGTCCCACCCAGTCACATTATCCTGACACCAGTACAAACACTAACTACTTAATGCTAAGCACCTAGTGAGGCAGCTGCAAGTACTATTTTTAGAAGTCTTAAAATGTGACCTGGCTGGGGTTTGAACCCACAACCGTATGCATCTGAGGCAGACACTCTAACCATTTAGGCACTAGAGTGATATGTGACCCAATCACTCTCCATTATGAAGGAAACTTGGGGTGATGAGAAACTTTTAACTAGTAACTCACCCCATGAAGTTAAAAGAATTATTTATAGCAGAAGAATCTGCTGTTTGTTTAGGGTTACTCTTTGCCAGCCAAGAGGGTTTGGGGAAGGAAGGTCTATTCCTCTCCTTCTTTTATACCGAACCTCATAAGATGATACTGAGTATGCAGGCATGACCTTATTACTATGCTGCCCAGGTCAAGGCCAAGGTTGCATATAAGGAAAGGACTAATCATTTCCCTGCTGTGAATGGCCCCTCATTCCATAAGGATTTAAAAAGATAAATGGGAAAGGGGGATGCTGATCCATTTCATTACTCAAGTTCCCATTCCCCTGTCAAATGAAATGGTAGTCTGGACAGAGGAGAGACGACTTGGCCCAATTCTTACCTCCATACAATAGGGGCTCCAAAGAATCCTGCCTGGCAATTGATGATCAGTCAAGGAGACCTAACAGGTGACTTATGAAGGTCAATCTTCAGGATATGACAAGGATATTAGACATCCTCTTGTCAGCAAACTAAATTGGATAAATTGGACTGTGGGAAGAAAGGATCATGTTCACCCCTTATGAGGGGAAGTGGTAGTGTCTTACAATCAGCTCTCACCAAGCAGCTGTGAGAGGGTACTAAGCCTCCTCCACCCTATTATAACTTCCTTTGGGAGTTGGCCTACTAATCTTAGGAATCTCACAGGAGACTTGTGCTACCAGGAAAACGCTGATGAAGACAAGGATACCTTCTTCCTTGCTTGGTAGATTCAATGATTCTTTATGAGATCCCATATCTCACCTGACCAAAGGCTACCTGTCCTCTTACAGCACTAACTGTGAGTAGGGTGCCAAAGGAATTGCTCATATTTGCTTTGATAGTGTTCCTGAAATAATAATGCTTCAAGGTGATTTGATATAATACAAAATTCTAAGTTATTATACACCAGGTAAAGCATGGACTAAAGTCTATGCTAATATAACTTACTCAGCAAAAAGACAGTTATCATGGGTCTTTCACCCTAAGCTTTCAGGCTTAAAAACAACCAAGGACCACTAACACTAACAAAAAAACCAGTAGACCATGATTGCTAATTAAAAGAAAAAATATAAGGTAGGCTATCTAAAACTAAAATAGAACAAGAAATGGTGTGTGACCTGCCTAACAAGTACAAAATTGTCACAATTTACAATGTGAATAAAATGATTGACAGCCGAGTCATTAGATAGCAAAATATAAATAGAGACAATAAAATACCTAACCCTTGCTGCTTAGAGATAGTTTTTAGACTACATGTAACAAAAAACCAAATTTAAAACACGAATGCCCTCAAAACAGGTAACAAGGTTAAATTAAAGTGCTATGATGTACAGAATGTGGATGGAAGAAAAATCACAAGAGAGCTTAAATAAACTGCAATAAAATTTGATCAGTGATGCTGAATACTATAACAAATTAAGAAAAGACACCAGTATGCACACCCAGTATGTTACTATTATCATGCGGAGGTGGTCCTATATAATGGATGTATCTGGTTCACCCTAATTGAAGGAAGAAATTTTCATCATATGGCAGGAGTATTTTCCTCTCAGACAAGTACTAACTCTACACTAGTAACATGAAGGGTATTAATCATATTACAATAAAGTACAAGTCTATTCACAATTATGTCTGATCTGCAGAAGGCAATTACAATGTAACTCATCTTGAAAGACTGTATATATAATTGACATAAGCTATGTAGCAATTGCTTCAATAACCTAATTGTATAATCCACACTTTACTTTGGATATTTTCACATTTAAGAATTAAAGCTCTCAGAAAATCATCTTAGGAATCGAACAAATTTTTACTACTGACTACCTTTTATCCCATTGTAGCAAGTTACTGTAAGTCAAATTTTATTCTTTAACAACTTTGCCCCTCCAGCAATAATCTAATATCAGCTGTATCGATAATACTTTGCAAAAAGTTCACACAAGGCCTTGCAAAAAATGTCAATTTTGTACAGAATTTTTTTTTGTTTGCCACTGTCTGTTATAAATGATATTCCCAACCCAAAGAGTAATTGCATCATCAGTACTTTAACAAAAAATATAGTTTTTAATATTTTGGACTTGCCCTAATGAATCTTTTCATCGCCATACTGTGCATATAGTTAATTCATGGCTATTATATGAATAGACAATTAAGTTTATGCACAGTATAGGTATGTTTGTATACAGCGTGTATGTGCATGTGTATGTGTGTATGATTTGGATTTTTTTCTGTAGCTTTAATAATTTTCCAGTCATATTGTTATGATGTCTGCAGTGTTGTAGTTTATGATGATGTCTAGCACTGGGGCATCATGGCGTAGACATGTAGCATGATGTCCTACTCAGTCACATTAACCTGACACCAGGCTTACCATTCATACACTAACTAACCCCTTAATGCACCAAGGATAACAGCTGCTAGTATATTTTTATAAGTCTTTTGTACGACTCAGCCAGGGTTAGAACCTGTGACCTCCTGTATCTAAGACAGGAACTCTAACCACTAGACCACCAGTGCAGTACTATGTACAGTGAATTCAATAGTTACTATCATTGAATTCCAAACTTGTAACTGACATATAAAGAATTCTTCATTAAGGAAAGGTTTTTTTGCGCATAGCAATGCTAAATAAAAAGAATATAACCAATTATTGTACTCCAATTGTGTTCCTGGATGTGTTTCTTTAACCTTACTTTCAAGTGGTCTTGCTCCAAAAATATTTTAAAAGGAGTGCTTTTTCCATGAAGTGAAGACTGGTAATGAATTGACGGTAAGAACAGTTTAATAAAATTTGAAGATTCTATTTATCTTTGATATTTAGGATAACGAACCAATTTTATTTTTTAATTGTTTAGAAATCATAATTTAAAAAAATGAACACATTCATCATAGAATGTGGTGTCAGCCAGGGTTAGAACCTGTGACCTCCTGTATCTAAGACAAGTCCATTTTCAGCAACTGGAAATGGGTCTTAGGCATGTCCGTCTATTATACTGACAACTTCCGTTAAGCATGAAACGCACTGACAATGATGGTGTTAAGGCTATTCTACTCACAGTCTAGTTAGAAAATATAAATCAATGAATGAATAGACTAAGTTCTTTGCACTTTTTATCAAATTAAATGTTTTCCTTATTGAAATCGGCGGGGGAGGGGTACAAACCAACGGGTTTAAGTAGGCTCAGACTACAATATCACTAACGCACGTGTCACAATTCGCCACCCTCATTCTTCCGAGAATCCATAAATGATTACATAGCAAGTCATAGATGGGCTAGTTTCGTTGCTAATTATTAGTGAAGTACCACCTTTAACAGACTGTAATCTTATTTAAAACCCTTCCAACAAATGAAATCTCTAGTCTACTTTCTCGTGCTAAAAGTGTTTAGAGTGAATTAGACGCCAAGTCGAAAAAAGGTTATGATCTAAAATGATTGTTAGGCAATAATTTAGACACTGGACACTTTTCACACAAAAAAACCTGGTTCTTCCTCCTGGGTAGGGAAGGGTTCATTAGGACTAGAAGAATCAACATCATGAGTATCGGTACCACTTCGTCTTGTTACAGGCATCTTCATCAGCCTCTCTCGTTCAATCTCGTTTCCAATATTTACTGACGTGGACATCTTGAAATTGGCAGTGCCGATTCAGTCCGGAAAATCGGCGATCATCGAATCTTTCTTCACAAAATTGCAGATTTTTACCTAAGTAATGGCTGATGATCTGCCACGCACGAAAACACTCATAATCCTGTCAAATTAACAACATGTTTACCTGTACACCGGAAGTTGACAGCGAGAAATCGCGAGATTCCATGAACACTTAAAAATTTCGCTACACGTTGATTCCTAGTCTGGTTCCCTGACTTATCTCCACTATGTTGCTCTTCGTAAAAGAATGAGCAATGTAGTGGAGATGTCAGGGAACCAGACTAGTTGCTTCCTTAATATAAATTTGACTGGTCACAGGTGGCTTACAGGAGTGTTTTTTTGTTGTTTTTTTTTTTATTTCTAAGAGTGCAGACGTGTTTTGCTGGAGCTCCAAGAAAACAAAGGAACAAAGAAATGTGCACAAAGAAAAGAGGAATATTTTAGCACAAATAACAATACAGGATAACCAGATGTGAGAAAACAAAGGGTTATATCACCAAACAAAGGAAAAGCCAAAAAAGGAAAAATATTCTTTGAACTTTTGTGCCGTCTTACCTAACTACACAAGACAACAGAGGAAACCTGATTCTAACAAAGGAAAGGCTGAACCGTGTATTACAAACAAATCGTATACAAGGAATACGGAGTACGGACAAGAAAAGACAAAGGACGGAAATTCTACAAACAGGTACCCACGCACACATCACGCGCATACAAACAACAAAAAACACATAAACAAAAAGGGAAGACAGCTAATTTCAGAAGCACAACACTAAATAAAAATGTCCCAAAATCTTAAAAAAGCATTTTCAGAACACCGGAGAATTAGACTAGCCCAACAACGGGCAAACAGATTCGATCAAAAAATTAAGGTTTCTTACGGAAACCAAACACCCGGTAGAGCCGACGTTCAAACAAACAGCAGTCTCCCCCAAAATCCTTCTTTGAGAAACTCTCAAATTAATAATAGTTTTGAGGGGACTGCCTCAGCCACCACACATCCCACCCCTCCCCTTAAACGAAAAGACCCCGAACGAGATACAAACCATCAACAACACACATTAGAAACCGAAAATCCATATCCAACCGCTCAAACGCACACACAAGAAATTGGTGCGAAAACAAATCAAACATTTACAGTCTTTGGCAGCAACCCACACAAAAAACCAAAACTCGGGGAGGGGCATATGGCATGCTTACCTTACACACAAAATAGAGGGGGAGGGGGAGCATTTCCATATATCACAAGCAACAAATCCACAACAACAAAGAACAGTATAGACCAAATAGGACGGCGGTACATGAAACTTGGGAAAATACAAGCCGAAAAATACAAGATCATGCACCCACTACACACCCAAAACCCAAGGAAAACAACAACAACCACATAACAACAAGAAAATTTATATATGCACAAGACACACAAATACCGGGACCGTCCAAAACACACACATTAGCAGAACTTTAAGAAATAAGTCACGCTTTAGAACTCTGATTACACACACATAAATTCTCAACACCTTTATGAAAACACTCCCGACTTTGAAGAAACTAGAATTCTACCCAAGGGCAAACAACCACTCCGAGGCACACCTAAAGGGAAAAACTCTGCAAACAACATGAACCCGTTACCACACATCACTCCAACCCCGACACACCAATGCACACTAGATTTACAACAAAAAAAAAACAAACGAAAAAGCACCAACACCTTGCATAGTACATCAGGGAAAAAGCACAAAACAACGGAGCAACATGAAAACAACATTAACTACTCACAACAAAACATTGTCCCCCCCCGCTCTCAATATATAGAAAAGGATAACAAATCTAAGAACAAAATTAAACCCAAAGACTACCACCCTAACTACCTAACCCTATACCTACACTATCCCATAACACCTAACAAACAGCTGTCAGACTCCATGATTATTTCAGAATTGCAGAAACACAAAAAAGGACGTATACAAATTAAACATCCGAAGCCCTCGGAAACTACCATACGATGCTTCACAGGTGCCCAGATCAGAGCCTACAAAAAGATCAAAGACGTTAATGGCATTCCAATCAAAATATGCAATCAACATAAATACAACACTCTTACTAAATCACACCTACCAAACACAGCTACAACTACAACTAACAAACCAAAACAAATCAGTAAAACCAACAAACAAGGAGCAGATCTAATAATTTGGCAATGGAATTGCAGAAGCATATATCAGAACCACTTAGAACTCCAAGCCGCCATCTTAGAAACCACTGAAAAACCTCTGGTCATATGCATTCAGGAAACAATGCTGCCTAGAAAGAAATCTGCTCTCCCCAAAATAAAAAACTACCAACAAACCTACCTACAACAAAGGAAAAACGAATCTAGGGGGGGGGGGCTTGCCATCTACATATATGACAGTATTACACAAACTCAAGAAATTGAAATCGCAGAAACTGAAAACAACCCCTGCGAAATGATGGCAATCCAAGTACAATTTGGTACACAAATCTATGAAATATACAACTTTTACATCCCCCCACAATCTACCCAAAACCCCACCATCCCACTACAAAATATCATCAAAAACATCAAACACAAAGGAATCCTATGTGGCGACTTCAATGCCCACCATCCATTCTCGGGAAGCAAAACGGCAAATACAAGGGGTAATCACATCTATCGACTCATTGATAACTCCGACATGATTATATTAAATGACTGTACCCCCACCAGAATGGATCCTCATACAGGGAAAATGAGCGCACTAGATCTGACGGTTGTTACCCCAAACCTTATCCATGATACACAGTGGAGAGTACTACACCACTCCACGTGGGGAAGCGATCACTTTCCCTTACAAATCAATATAAACACAAAATACAACCCGGACACAGACACTTAAAAAGAAAACTGGAATTTTAAAAAAGCTAACTGGGAGCTCTTTAAAACCAACCTGCAGTGCACCCTGCTAGAAGAATTACACGACCCAGACAATAACATCTTTTTTAACAACATCGTTACGATATGGCTGCTGACAGCTCAATACCAAAAACCAAACAACACCCCCAAAATTTCAACCTTCCTTGGTGGACCGAGGAATGTGGTAATGCCATTAAAGCCAGAAAAAGGCTTTAAACAAGTATCAGCACAGTAAAACAGGAGAGTCATATATAGAGTACAAACGGCTTAAAGCCGTCACAGCCAGAACACTTAAAAACGCAAGGAAAAACTCTTGGAGACAATACTGCTCAAAACTAACACACCGCACAACTTCAAAGGCAATTTGGAATAAAATTAGGGCGATTAAAGGCAAAAACAACAAACAAAAACATATAAAACTCATTCCAAAACCAAACCAAACCCAAGCAGACACACTTGCAAAACACTTTGCAAATGCAAGTAGCAACACAAACCACAAAGAGAGCTTCCTCAAACAAAAAACAAGGCTTGAATCCCAATATCCCCATCTTTTCAAAGACCTATCTGCCCAAGACACATGCAACCAAGACCCCCTAAATGATCTCTTCTCACTCACAGAATGGCACCAAGCCATTAAAAACAAAAAACAAACTGCTCCTGGGGATGACTCATTAGGATATATTATATACCAAAAACTCCCTACAAATATGATTCACATCTCGTTAGCCCTAATAAATCAAATCTGGAATACGGGAAACCTCCCCATTAGGTGGAAACAAGCCCTAGTCACCCTATCCCCAAAGAAGACAAAAACCTCCTACTACCAGAATCATATCGTCCCATCTCCCTCACGATTACACTATGCAAGATCATGGAAACCATGATTGTTAACAGGCTAAAACATCACCTTGAATGTAATAACCTACCATCAGAGAATCAAAGCGGATTCCGAG